GCACCCGGTGCCGGTGCGCAGCATGCAGTGCGCTCTGGGTTCGGGGTCCCTGAGGACGGCGACGCAGTCCTGGCCGGGCTTCCTGGACCGGGGGGAGGCGCTGCTGTCGCTGGCCATGCTGCTGCGCCTCTACCTGGTGCCCCGCGCGGTGCTGCTGCGCAGCGGCGTCCTGCTCAACGCGTCCTACCGCAGCATCGGCGCGCTCAACCAGGTCCGCTTCCGCCACTGGTTCGTGGCCAAGCTGTACATGAACACGCACCCCGGCCGCCTGCTGCTCTGCCTCACGCTTGGCCTCTGGCTCACCACCGCCTGGGTGCTGTCGGTGGCCGAGAGGTGAGGGTGCTGGAGGGTAGAGGGCTACCTGGAGCCCCTGGAGGAGCCGCTTACGGCCACAGCCGGCCACCCTGAACGGTGCAGGTTGCCAAGCAGTGAAGGGAGATTTGCCCACATCCCTTCCAGTCCCCCGAGGTGGGCGGAACCAGCAGGCCAGTCCCAGCCCTGCCTCACCCGCAGCCTCCAGACTCCCAGACCCCCCAAATCCCAAATCCTGAAGAGTGTGACCAAGCAACCCGTTCTAACGGGTGATTCTGGCCAGCTCGAGTTTTGAGAGCCTCTTGGTTTAGTACATCTGGCAAAGGATTCTTGAGGGAAGGTGGAGAATGAGAAGGTCTGGTTCGATCTCTCCTCTCTGAGCTTGTTTCCACATCTGCAAAATGGGTGTCAAATTCTACCATCTTTAAAGTCTCCCCGGCAATTCTTTCATGGTTTTAAACTCATTCATCTTACAAGATCTCAGTTTTACCAACTGGGAAATGGGTCGGGATCAGGATCAGTGAATGATCCTCCCAACTATGTTTCTCATCTGGAAAATGGGAGGATGGGGAGGTTGTCAAATTCTTAAAACCCAAGGCCGAAGTCCTCAAACTTGAATGTACTTCTGGATAAGGGGTGGGCCTTGTTAACAGTGTAGAGTCAGTATCCCACTCCAGACACTAACTTAGTGGGCCTGAGGTGTCTGGGGCCCTCAGGAATAAAGCTTTCCCTGATGACTCCAATGCAAGGGGTCTGCAGGCCCAAGTGAGACAAATCCCCATTTTCAATCCCTTCCATGTCTGGACCTAAATGTCCCCCTTCTATGGAATGAGGGGAAGGGAGGACAGAGTCTCCTCAAACTTTCTTAGAATTCCAACTTTTTAGTCCTAATGGGGTCATCTCTAGGCCTACAGCATCTTTGTGGAAATTAGAAAAACATGTCCCTTCCTCTGGGTGGGTGGAGGCAGCCCCTTGCTAGGGCCCAGCCAGTGGACTTCAGGCACGGTTTCTGCGCCTTTTCAACCCCTCAGCCACCTGTTCTGAATGCAGCAGCCTTGGTAGCCTAGCTGAAACCAGGAATTGGCTAGATCCAGGTTCAAATCCCAGAGCCCAGAGCGGTGTTGCACCTGGCTCACAGAGCAGAGAGGAGACCTGGCAGGCTCTCCAGAGCCTAGAACTTACTGGCTTTTTCTCTGAGTGCTTCTTGGGACTGTGGGCATATGTTAGGAAGGAGGGTACCCAAGATCACGGGAACCTAACCCACCCTTCCCCACAGGCAAGCTGTTAATGCCACTGGGCACCTTTCAGACACACTGTGGCTGATTCCCATCACATTCCTGACCATCGGGTATGGGGATGTGGTGCCAGGCACCATGTGGGGCAAGATCGTCTGCCTCTGCACTGGGGTCATGGTGAGTACAGCTCCCTCGGGGACCCTACCCCAACCCAAGCTGCTTATTCCCTGGGCCCCAGGGAATCATAGAGCCAACAAAGGCACTTGGGGACACCCCCAGGAAACTTGGGTGCCTAGGCCCACACAGCCCTACTTCTCTTTAAAACCCAGAATCCATTCCCAAGTCCTTGATGTCTCTAGAACCTAGGACCCCAGCCCTCAATCCTCAGGAACACAGTTCCCTGGCTTCCCAGCCCCATTTCCTTCCAGAATCCAAGAATCCTGCTCTGTGCCCCATCTAGGCTCCTCTGGGACCCAGGAATCCAGTCCCCCAGGCTCCATTAAGGCTACTGAGTCTAGTCATCAAGAGTATGTCTGGGGGTCAGGCTGTCTGGGTTCAAATCCTGCTTCTGCCACTTCCAAGCTGGGAGCAAAACATACTATCTCTCTGGGCCTCAGTTTCCTCATTTACACAATGGGGGTGCTGCTACTAGGGTACTCCCATGGGGTTCCTGAGATTAAATGAATTAATCTTAATTAATGTAAAGGGTCTCAGTGTCCAACGTACAGGAAATACTCAGTAAATGGGTTGCAGGGGATGGGGTAGGAGGCTGTTATTGTAACTGGTCCCAGGACCCAGCTGCCCCCATCCCAGCTCCTGTGCCCTCCGGGATGAGGCAAAGGCAACCCAGCCTCAGACACAAGCTTCGTCCCAAGTCAGCTTCTTCCTGAATCCAGGCATCCACCGTCATGGACCCAGACATCCAGTTCCCCCACCTAGCCCAGGACCTGCACCCAGTACACTGGCCTTCACCACCCCATGAGATCTGGCTCCCCTCACCCTCTGGGACTCAGACCTCCAGCCCCAGCCCTGATGTCCCAAGGACATGTTGAATCCCCAAGTGCTGAGTCCAGTGGTGATGGATGGGGTGGCAGGGAGACGTGACCCAAGCCCCACAGTGGTGAGTCTTTGCACTGAGGAAAGCAGGGCAGAGACTCAGCCAAGGAAACACTCCCCGGGGACCCTCAGGGCTGCCTAGGACCTCTTCGCTCATTTGACAAAAGGAGTAACAGATCTCGAAAGATAAGGCAGTTTGCATTCCAGCTCACAGCCTCTCCTGGCTGGGAGGCTCCCTGACAGCATGGAATAACAGTGGATTTTTATCAAGCACATACTTTGTGCTAGTCTTTGCTCTTACACACCTTCCAGGTGTTAACTTATGGAATCTAGGATAGTACGGTGAGGGCATGCCCATTCACAGATAAGAAACTGGGGCACTGAGATTAAACAGCTTCTCAGAGCTGAGCTTGGCATCCAAGCAGTCCTGGAGCCAGTGTTTGTAGCGAGTTTGGTTGTTACGACTGGTCAGGAGCTGAAGCACATGGTGTGGGGGAAAGCGTCAGAAGACTCACCGTAACTCAAGGAAGAGTGAGTAGGTGCCACAGAGTGGTTGGGATTTGGCGGGGCCTTGAAGTATCGGAGGCTTTGGGAGAAGGGAGAAGAAAGATGTTTAGACCAAGGTGCTCAGGCAGGTGAGGCAGAGAGGCCAGGGCTGAGCCGTCTGGGAGTGAAACTGGGCCAAGGAGAGGCCCAAACTTTGGAAGGCCTTGAAAGCCAGGCTAAGAAGTTTGGGGCAGTGGGAGCCTAGATCAGGGTGAGGTGGGTGGGATCTTAACTGGGTGTTACATCTCTCCGGGGTCAGAGTGGAGCAAGGGGGAGGCTGGAGATGATCGGGAGGGAGAGCTGGGCAGAGGCTATGGGGGTGGGGAAGTGGGGAGGGCACCCTCAGTAACCTGATGGCAGACTGGGTGTGAGCAGGAGAGGAAGGGGTCCCCAGGAGCCCAGGTTTGCCCCTTGCCCAGCTCAACCCTCCTCCCCCTTCTCCAGTCATGCCCTTAATGAGGAAGGACATTCTGATGGTGCAAATGCTAACACAACAGTGGTACTTGGACAGGGATTCTGATCCTAGCCCCACCCCTCAGAGTGGGGGACTCCGGGTTTCTCTGGGCCTGTCTGTCGGTCCGTCCACTAGGGGTGGTCGTGCCACTTGGGAGGGTTCAAGGAAAGTCAGTGGCACAGGGCTGGCCCAGAGCCCACAGCCCTCATATCACAGTGCCTGCCATCCCACAGGGTGTTTGCTGCACAGCCCTTCTGGTGGCAGTAGTGGCCCGGAAGCTGGAGTTTAATAAGGCAGAGAAGCATGTGCACAACTTCATGATGGACATCCAGTACGCCAAAGAGGTGAGGACACGCCTGTGACAGCCAGAGCACCCTCCTACCCCAGCCCCAGGGGCCCAGCCCCCGGCCCCTCCTCCCCCAGACCCAGGGGTCCAGGCCCCAGCCCCCACCCTGTCCTGCCCCAGGAGCCCAGACCCCATCCTCCCCACCCCCTTCCTGCCCCAGGAGTCCAGGCCCCAGCCCCCTTTCCAGAGCCCTCAGCGGTCTATCTCCACTGACACTGCCACCCACCCCCAGATGAAGGAGTCAGCTGCCCGCGTGCTTCAAGAGGCCTGGCTGTTCTACAAATACGTACGCAGGAAAGACTCTGGAGCTGCCCGCAGGCACCAGCGCAAGCTGCTGACCGCCATCAGCACGTGAGGGCCTCTGTGTGCACACTTGTGTGCACGCATGTTCAAACTCCCTCCTCTGCCCGGTGTGTGTGTGCATGTGACAGAGCATGGATGTGCCCAGGTCAGGACACCTGGGTGTGGTCTCACTGAACAGATGTCCACCCGGACCTCACAGTGACTGTGTGTCTGTGACAGTTTATATTGCACGTCTCAGAGTGTCTGTGGGCCTGGATACCGAGATCTCCACCTGGGAGGTGGGCTCATGGGTGCAGCTACCCCTTCCCACTCCATCAGCTCTTTGGCAGCTTTTCCTCTTTGAGCTGTGTCTATATGCGTCTCTCCTCCCTTCATCCCACCTCCAAGCTTGGGCCACTTCTGACCCCCACTTCTTTCCACAGGTTCCGCCAGGTGCGGCTAAAACACAGGAAGCTCCGGGAACAAGTGAACTCCATGGTGGACATCTCCAAGGTACGGCCCGTGGGAAGGGGTCTGCAAGAAGGCAACTGGGGCGGTTGATGAGGCAGGCACTCTGGCCTTGGTACGGGGGGTGGGGCAGGGCCTGGTACACGCAGACACTCGGTAAAGGTTTGTGGCTGAATAACGAATAAATGAATGATGCAATCAAGTTTCTTAAACTCCTCTAAGGCGCAGGTCCCTCTTAAACTTAAAAGAAGAAATTGTACAAAGAACTCCAGTGTTTGGCTTTAAACTATTTTTATTGTCAAGTCACTTATGTGGACGGATATAAAATTCCTTCCAACTACGACTCTTATATGTTTAACAATAAAACCAAAGCAAATTTACAAACCAAGTTCAAACATAAGTGGCAAAACCAATAAATGTTAATTACAGCACTGACACAGGTGACCTTGTTTCAGTAACTCAATCTCTGCTGCTGTTGTGAAGAGAGGCCCCAGGCCCCAGTGCTTCTGCACTGGGCTGGCTTGTGGGGCCAAAATGTGACTGAGTTTGCCCTCCTTCTGCTGGGACCACTTGATTTGGCCAGAGCTCAGGGATGGGGACAGTGACATCGCACTCCCTTGGCTTGGCTCACAGTGCCTTTTGCTTCTCCATTGGCCTTTGCTTTTTCTCATTAGTCCGCGACAATTCAAACAGTGGCCGTTGGCACCCAAGCCATGGTAAACACAATCACAGACACAGGCTCCTACACCGTATGGCAGGTCTCAGTGACGAGGTGGCAGCCTAGGTCTGCCAGAATTGGTAGGTCATAATTTCCGAAGATTATCCAGCCAAGAAGAGAGAATTCAATCCCCATAAAAGCTCACACCCCTTTAGGGATGAAGCTGTGGATCCTGCATTGAGAAGGCAGGAGAAAGGGCTGTGTGGATTCTGAAGCCAGGCATTGGTCAATTCCACGATTATTTAGTGAGCACTTACTATGTTCTACGTGTTGCCATGGGCGTGTAATTTAACTGCTCCAGGTCTGTTTCCTCAGCAATGGGAACAGGATTCTCACTGCCCACACTTTAAGGACTTTAAACCATACATGGGAAGCACCTGGCCGAGCAGCAGGGATGCGGCAGGTGGTCAATAAATGGTAACTGCTATTATGAAGGGAGATCCTTGAGGGCCTGTAAGGACTCCACTGCTTTACTCCATGGGACAGTGAGGAAATCTGCCAGGCCCCTGACACCTCCAACCTCTCTCTGCCCAGATGCACATAATCCTGTGTGACCTGCAGCTGGGTCTGAGCAGCTCACACCAGGCCCTGGAGAAGCGGATTGATGCACTGGCAGGGAAGCTGGACACCCTGACAGAGCTGCTTAGCACTGCCCTGGGGCCGAGACAGCTTCCAGAGCCAAGCCAGGAGGCCACATAGCTGGTGAGGGGGCTGGGACTTGGTCTAAGGGGATGAAGGATGGCCTGGAGACAAGGCTACCCTTTTTCCTCCATTCTGTCTGGAGGAAAGGATTCCTCAAGTTTGGGGCTAGACTGGCAGAAGGAAGGAGGTGCTTCTTCTCCCATTCACTGACCCTCAACCTCCTCTCCCACTCTTCTTGGCTTGGTCTCTGGCTGCCCACATGTCCATCTGCACCCTGGTCACTTGGTGCTGGGCACACCTACCCTCTTCCTCCCCCCTCTGCCCACTGGCCTGTTTGCACCTCTGTGTCTCCGTTCTCGCTGTCCCTGTGGTCACTAGCCTGCCTGTACATCCATCACTGTTTGTCTCCCCAGGATCCATGGAGGAGGAAACAAGCTACTTTCCCCAGGACTGAGGTCAAGGACATTTCCCTGCAACTCCTGACCCAGTCTCATGAATAAAGCACATCGTGTGCGAGGCGCGAAGGGGCCCCCCTTGGAGTGGGCTGACTTGCTGGTGGCTGCTGGAGGGGACACTAGCTGAAGGTGGAAGGCCATAGCCCTCCCAGACCCCAAATGGGAAAATGGTCACCGTTACCCCACATACCCTCCACAGAAGCACCCTCTATGCTGCTACAGGTGACCTCCAGCTTTTAGATAGAAGTGGAGGTGCCTCTGGGACTCCTGGGTCCTAGAGGAGGGGACTGGGGGCCCAGAGTCCAGGACCTGGGGGGCTTCAGATACCGCTGGACGGCAGAGCTGACAGAACCAGGCATGTGAGGCTGAGACCAGGCAGGTGGCAGCGCCCCCTGGCGGGAGAGCGAGGACACCGTTTTCTAGAGCTGCGGACACTATCTGGTGGGGGAGGAGGCAGGGGGAGGCACAGCTCACCAGTCTCTGCTCTTACACTTTGTAATAAATGGTAAACAAAGCCAGAGTAAGTTACAGTTTCTTCCTAAATAATACCCAAACTTCTAACAGGTAGGTCACCCAGTTGAAGGCTGCTCACACCAGGCCCTGGAGAAGCGGATTGATGCACTGGCAGGGAAGCTGGACACCCTGACAGAGCTGCTTAGCACTGCCCTGGGGCCGAGACAGCTTCCAGAGCCAAGCCAGGAGGCCACATAGCTGGTGAGGGGGCTGGGACTTGGTCTAAGGGGATGAAGGATGGCCTGGAGACAAGGCTACCCTTTTTCCTCCATTCTGTCTGGAGGAAAGGATTCCTCAAGTTTGGGGCTAGACTGGCAGAAGGAAGGAGGTGCTTCTTCTCCCATTCACTGACCCTCAACCTCCTCTCCCACTCTTCTTGGCTTGGTCTCTGGCTGCCCACATGTCCATCTGCACCCTGGTCACTTGGTGCTGGGCACACCTACCCTCTTCCTCCCCCCTCTGCCCACTGGCCTGTTTGCACCTCTGTGTCTCCGTTCTCGCTGTCCCTGTGGTCACTAGCCTGCCTGTACATCCATCACTGTTTGTCTCCCCAGGATCCATGGAGGAGGAAACAAGCTACTTTCCCCAGGACTGAGGTCAAGGACATTTCCCTGCAACTCCTGACCCAGTCTCATGAATAAAGCACATCGTGTGCGAGGCGCGAAGGGGCCCCCCTTGGAGTGGGCTGACTTGCTGGTGGCTGCTGGAGGGGACACTAGCTGAAGGTGGAAGGCCATAGCCCTCCCAGACCCCAAATGGGAAAATGGTCACCGTTACCCCACATACCCTCCACAGAAGCACCCTCTATGCTGCTACAGGTGACCTCCAGCTTTTAGATAGAAGTGGAGGTGCCTCTGGGACTCCTGGGTCCTAGAGGAGGGGACTGGGGGCCCAGAGTCCAGGACCTGGGGGGCTTCAGATACCGCTGGACGGCAGAGCTGACAGAACCAGGCATGTGAGGCTGAGACCAGGCAGGTGGCAGCGCCCCCTGGCGGGAGAGCGAGGACACCGTTTTCTAGAGCTGCGGACACTATCTGGTGGGGGAGGAGGCAGGGGGAGGCACAGCTCACCAGTCTCTGCTCTTACACTTTGTAATAAATGGTAAACAAAGCCAGAGTAAGTTACAGTTTCTTCCTAAATAATACCCAAACTTCTAACAGGTAGGTCACCCAGTTGAAGGCTGCTGCCCTGTCTGAACCTGTTTCCCCATCTATACAACAGAGGCCTCCCCTAAATGCCCTCCCAGATCTGTAGGCTGAGGAGTCCTCAACCACCCCCCACCCCACCCACATCTGCAGCAAAGAGTGAGGACTCTGAATTCAGACAGACTGGGGTCCAAATCCTGGCTCTGCCATCCACTGGTTGTGACTTTGGCCAAGTAGCTTTACCTCTCTGCACGTTTTACCTCACCATAAAATGGGACCCTTACCCCCATGGACCTAACTGCACAGGGAATGGCCCAGGGGGTCAGACATTTAGTAAGAACCATGTGAGAGGTAGTTAATCGTTTTTATTACTGTAACTGACTTTCAGACACAAAGTGCAGCTCCCCTTTCCCCTCTTCGCGCTTCTCACTAGAACGCAGATAAGAGCTCAGCCATCAGCAGACTGACAGGAACCCCAAACCATCCCCCACACTAGTGTCTTATCTGCCAGGACTCAGGCAGGAAAAGAGAGAGGGGCTGGTACTTCCAGAGGCCCTTCTGTATGGCCTTTTTATAAATTATCACAAGCACTCCTGCCCCATTCCACCCCATTGTACAGATACAGAAATTGAGGTAACAAGAGGAGCCAGGCCCAGAAGCTCAGAGTCTGAGCTGCAGGGCCCAGATTCACACCTAGCCCATCCCACTGCCCAGCCTGAGGTAAGTCAGAGGCAGAATGGCCTTGGCCTCGAGCCTAGACCTCACATCCCACAGCGGCTTCATTACACTTTCAGAGGCTGATTCATCCTTGCTTCCTTCAATTTGCAGGGAAACCCAAGCTGCGAATCATCCTTCCCTGCTGAGCTATCTTTGGATTTCCCTGTAAGCCCACAGCCAGCCTCACCCCTAGGCCCTGAGAGCTAAACTCGGGTTTGTACCACCCACTGCCCCAGACTGCCCTTCCCTGGCCACCAGTTCTCCTGCGGAGAAAAGGAGACAGGCACTCCTGGGACCTCTGAGGGCGCGTCCAAACCCTGCCCCTCCGCCGCTGCAGGAAGCCCTTCCGACAGTGTTGCCAGATCTCCCGCCAAACTCATTCCTCCTGCTAGATTCTTTCCTAGGCCAACCCCACTTCAGCTGGCAAAGTCCTGCCTACACCTTCTTTAGGCCTTGGCTTAGACGTCCCATCGTCCAGAAAGCCCTCTCTGAAGCTCCCTGAACCTGTCTCTAGTAGTATTTATTTCTGCCAAGCACCATGTTAAGTCATTTATATAAATGATCTCACAAAATCTCTACAAGAGGAAGCTAAGCAGCTATTGCTGGTCCCATTTTCCACATGAGGAACCTGAGGCACAGAGAGATTAAGAAATCTGCTCCAAGTCACAGCAAAGAGATGGAGAGGCAGGGAGTGGCTGGGATCCGACAGGCAGCCTGGCCCCAGACCTCCAGCACTTAGCCAATTGGCCCATTCAGACACCCAGAGACCATTATATAGTATTTTCACTTTTGTTCTCTATTGTGTCTTCAATGTCAAGAGCCTGGCATAAGCAGGGCATCAGTGAGCACCACTGAATAAATACACTAAATACCTGGGGTGGCCTGAGGCTCCTCACCTTCCACCACATGTTTGGTATCCGCTGAGACAAGGTAGGAACTGGTTAGAAGGGGCTTTTGACTAAGAAACTGAGAATATGTGAGTGACCTCCTTTCTGAATTATCTCCGATCAGTCCCTCCCTGCGCCCATTCTCCACTATGGGGCACAAGTCCTGAAACCCCCATTCCAGTAGGTTCTGCACTTGTTTCACAGTCTCAGCACTCCCTGAAGGCCCAGCACCAGGGAGTGGGGCTATAGGAATGAATCGGGGGCTCCATCTCACAGGATTTTGGCTAGTTCCCTCTCCGACTTGTTTTGCCTCCATTCCCACAAAGGACTGGGTAGGGGGAATCGGGTCCAGGGAGAGGTGGTGGCTTTCCAGGGCTAGAGAGCCGGTCAAGACTGAGCCCAAGGCCAGGCTTGGGCCTTTCACCTTCCATGGACCCCTGTCCTCTGGCCACGGAATACCCTTCAACACCCAGACCTGACTGGGCCCTTCCCTTGCTCAGAACCCTTCCATGGCTGCCACCTGCCCTTATGTCCAAGTCTAGCTCCTAGGCCTAGCTCATTTTTTCTTTTATTGAGATCTATTTAACATTAAGGACACACATTTTAATGCAGTCACAATATATTTTTACAAATACAAACACCTGAGGAGGTACTACTCAGATCAAGCTGGAAGTTTCCAGCCCCCTAAAAGTTCCACTTCCCTCCAGCCAACAGCTTCTCATCCTCAGTAACCACTATCCTGGCCTCTATCTTGATTCCTTTTGCCAGACTTAGGAGGGAAGCTTGCTGCACATCCTGGTGTGTACCTGCTTCCTGGGCTCTGCACAGCACCTGTGAGATTCAACCGCCCACTCCTCCTTTCTCACCGCAGAAAATGTGGGCCGCAGCAGTGGGGAGGGGAGGGGTCTTTAGGCTCCGGCCCTACCTCTCTCCCAGCCTCCCCCTCCTCTCCCTGTCCTGGGTGCTAGTGGTCCTGCACCCAATTCCAGTGTATGCGTTTTTTTTCTCCACAACAAGTAATTCTCAGACACCAGCTGGGTGTCCTACATCGTCTGCCTGGAGATCCCGTAAGACTTCACAGATTAAGGGCTTACACCTACAAGGCTGCCTTCCTGCCCAATTCAGAAGCCAGCTGTCACCTGTGCTTCTGACCAACCAGCTACAGATTGAAGGAGGTCCCAATGATCCCTTCCTTGGGTTCCATTAATTTGCTAGAGTGGCTCACCAAACTCTGAGAAACATTTAACTACAGTACTGGTTTTATTCCAAAAAAGATACAAGCCACAGCCAGATGGAAGCCATGCATAAGGCGAGGAGGCAAAGGGAAAGGGCAGGGAGCCTCCGTGCTCTCCAAGGGTACCACTCACCCTGAGTCTCAACCAGTTCACCAGCCTGGAAGCTCTCCAGCTGACCCTTTGGTTTTGTTATGGAGGCTTCATTACAGAAGCATGACTGATTACAGCATTGGCCAATGGATATTGAGTCCACCTCCTCTCTCTTTCCCAGAGGCCAAGGGGTGGGACTAGAAGTTCCAACCCTCTAATCACATGGCTGGGTCCCCTGGCAACCAGCAACCCCCACCCACTCAGTCTTAGGTTACCTGGGGGCCTCAAAAGTCACACATTAACATAACAAAAGACACCTTTTATCCTCTCATCACAGTAAATTCCAATGGTCTTAGGAGCCCCCAGACAGAAAATAGGATGAGGCCCAAACATTTATTTACTATAAATCACAGTATCACAGCTATTCCTGCCTTAAGGCTCCTCTTCCCTCTCAAACATACTTTGTTGTAATTGCCCACTGAGACAGGGACCGTGGATTTCGACAGAGTAGGGCGAGGGCCTCTGGAAAAAGACCCCTACCAAAACTCCATGTTAAACAATTAAGCAAAGCCAGAGTCACACTTAATTCTCTAAGGTAAAAATGTCAAACTAGGAATATAGGCATTCTTCAGTGAGATTAGTTAAAACTAAAAAGCCAGGAGTAACTTGGTCTGGAATGTTTGAATATCCCCCAGATAAAGTATCTCAGCATAGCCTGTGTTTTCACTGTGTTAATCAGAACACACCATTGTAAGATTTACTTTAGCCTGCTCAAAGGCCCAGCTTATTTTCTTTTAACTTAACCCAGATGCTGCTTTTCTTCCTCCAGCCCTAAATCAAATGATTTGCAACCTAGGCAAGTAATAATGGCAAGCGAGCCCAGTCATAAACAACATAGTAGAAACAGGAAGGACTCCCATCTTAAATATAAGATTGCATTTTAAAACCCAAGAAGTTAAAAAGTAAGCTTCTTAACATACTCTTTAACAAACAGACAATAACTCAGCCCACCTTAGGAGCCGGACAGGCAGTCTTGATTGATATGCTCCAGACCAAGAAGCTGCTGTCCTGGGAAAGAATCAAAGCAGTAAATTTCTTATGTAAACTTTGCAAAATAACCCAGAAGACTGATAAGAAACTTAGTGTCCCTTCAAAGATAAACATTTGGGGACCATTTGACAGGTCTGCATCCTTAGCCCTGTCTCTCAACCACCTAATAAAACCCCTAGACAATGCACAACTACAGACTCTCTTGTCCCCTCCTGGCTCAAGGAGCTCTTTCCTCTTACTTTATCTCTGAATAAAAGCCTCTCACGTGCTCTCCTACCTTGAGTGTTTGTGAAGTTCATTCTTCGACTCTGTGAACAAGAACCTCGGCATCACCACCACCCTCCTGTCCCCCTTGCCCCATCCACCTAGAACAAACATCACTAGTATTTGTCCAGGTCTTTTATGGTCCATAAAGGAAGTTAGCTGTATCATCTACATCAACACTCGACTGCAGTCCAAAGACCTGTTTTGAGCTTTTATGCTGTGTGGAAGAGCTGCCAATATATAAAACCAGGAGAGGGGATGTCAAACTCAACTTTCTTGTATGGGATAAGCTGGCCCTTCAAGTCCAACCCCTCCTCCATTGTACCCTGCCTGAACACCCCTCGCCTCCTTGGGGACGGGGGTCCTAACCTGAGTCCATTCTCCCTCTATCACTGCCATCAACATACAAACATGCTCTAATTTCTCCACCTTCAAAGTCTGCCACTGCAATGTTAAGCTCTTTATCCACCAGTATCCTTAGAGTTCACTATGTAGCCACCAAACTGTAACATCTGGAATTCAAATTCCAAGTCTTTATTTTTGATATTGTAAAACCACTGTTATGTAGAAATCCTTTTTACAGAACAAACTCCTGTTTCAGACATAAAGAGGGAAAGGAGCCAGACACACAGAAGACCTCTGGTAGCACTTCATTCACCTGAAGTTCCGGAGCAGGCACAGCCCATCAGTAGTGACCACAGTTAGATCGGTGGTTGCTTCTGGAGTGGGAGGACTGCCAGGGATGGGGCACAAGAGAAATTTCTGGGATGTTGGAAACGTTCTCCATATTGACCTGGTTAGTGGTTACATGAGTATATATACTTGCAAAAATTCATTGACCTGTACCTTTAAGATCTGTGTTCTTGGGGTACTTGGCCATATTAAAATTACACCTCGCCAAAAAGAAAGTTAAAGAACTTAAAAACTTTTCCTTATAGAATCTGCATTATGATATTGGTAAGTTTTTATAACATAGTTAGATTGGGGGATTAAAAAAAAAACATGTTTTTTTCTGGGTGGATCCCACATCCACCTCTAGCTACGGCCCAGACCCTTGTTCCCCAGTTCATCTCCACCTCTTTGGAAGATCTTGTTCCGCAGACACCAGGTCATTACCCCTCCTGCTGTCCCTGCTCCCTCTCTGCCCTTTTCTACAATCCTGTCCTTTCCCCATTCCTAAATGTGGGAGGCCCCAGGGCCTAGTCTTTGCTCTCATTGACTGGGATTGGTTTTAGCAAATCCCAGGGTTTTAAATACCATGTATCTATACATCAACAACTCCAAAATTTAGCATATTTGCAAAGTTATGATAAAATGACAGGACATCTGGATTTGCTTAAGAAAAAAGAAACTACAGGAAAAAATACGCTTAGATGTGCAAGAGGAAAATAGATACAAATAAAATGTAGATGAATGCCAATACTAGGTGCTGGGTATGTGGGAGTTCTTTATACCATATTACATTTCTGTATGTTGTTAAAATTTCTTAATGAACAGTCGGTAAAAATTCTGTTATGTACAAACCCTAGCTTCTACCATTAACTGCAACCACTTACTTGATATACAATGTGTATCATTGTATACAATGAAAGGAAGTTCAAAGCTTGTCGATTTCCCATTAAGATGACTCCTTCCCGTCTTGGTGTTAAGTCTGGGGAGAGGAAGCCCCGGGGCAAAATATCTCTAAAAACCGAAATCAGTCAAAGGGAGAAATAAAGTTTAAAATCCGTTTATTGCTTACAAACTGCAGTGAGAGCCCTTCTCTTTCCTGCTCAGGCAGAAGCACAACCGGCCCTCCCCTCACCTCTCAGGCATAGATAAGCCCTTCCGTCCAGGTAATTACCCATTGATATGGAGATGAACTTCTCTCCACCCCTGAGGAATGATGCAAATGCACTAAAGCCATACTTCTTTCCACCTCTGACCGCCTATTGATATGCAGATATACTAAAGCCAGGCGAGATATTCTGGAAATATTACAATTTTACCCACTTGGTAGAAAGCATCACTCCATCCAGCTGGTCAGACCCCAAACCTTTAGTGTAACTCTTCAGTCATCCCTGATTCATGCTTCCTCCCACACAGCCCTCTTCCTGAGTCACCATCATCTCTTGCCCAGGCAGGGACATCAGCTTCCTCATCTCCTTCCACTCCTGCCCAGCTGCAGGCCATTCTCACAGCAACCAGCTTTGCCTTAACTTTTTTGGGCATTGATTAACAGTCATACAGTTCAAAACATCAGTCTTAAAAAGTCTTCCTCAAAGTTCTGATCCATATCAGTCTATAACCTTCACCCCCGTCCCAGACAACTGCTGTTATTGTTGCTGTTCATTATAAAAATCTTTGTAAAACACACATCATAATCACAGCCCTCCAACTGGTTCTTATTACTCTTGGAAGTAAATTCCAAAGCCCTTATCAGGGCCTACAAGACCTTATATAACCTGGCCCCTCCCTAGCTCCATCCCTGAATAATCCTACCTTTCTTACCCTTCTCAGTCGGCTCAAGCTACTCTGATTACCTTGATAATCCTTGAATAGCCAGGTCCACACCTGCCTCCGGGCCTTTTCACTTCCTTCCTTCCTTATCTTCTCTGACTTCTGCTCAAATGCAACCTTCTCAGAGCAGCCTTCCCTGACCTCTGTCTCTGTGATCACTATCACTCTCAATTCTCTTATCCTGATTTTTTCTTCTGAGCATCTCTTCCCTGACATTTGACCCACTACATCTGCTCCTACAGGTCAAGTGTTCTGTCCTATTCACTGTCGGATCTCCAATCAGTAGCATGCCTGGCAGATGACTAGAATTCCATTAATTAATTCAATATATGAATGAATGAATGAATTTGGCAATGGCTCTCAAAATTCCCAATGCATGTATCCTCTGACCCAGCAATTCTACTTCAGGACATTCTACCGATAATACTATCATACACGTGCAATCAGGACTTACAAGGATATTAATGCAGCAAATGTTTTTAAGAGCAAAAGTTCAGAAACAATGTTTACCAATAGGGATATGGTTAAATTAAGTGTGATACATCCACACAACAGCAACCATGCCACTAAGGGAAAAGGCAACTCTCTGGGTGCTTGACTGCACCACTGACTCACCACTAGGCAATCTGCCCGTTGCCAGGGAAATAATGTGGGCTCGCCCTAAGGCAGGGCAGGCTTGGGTCTGAATCCAGGCCCTGCTGCTTCCCAACTATGGGGCCTTCAGTAAGGCCCTGCTTCTCTTTCAGACTCATTTTCGGCATCTGTTAAGAAGGGAGGAAGGTTGCAGTGATGTAAGACAGAGCCTGGTACACATGGACCCATAGTCAATTCCAGGCCGCCCCCCTTTTCCCATTTTAAGTTATTTCCACCACTGAGGACTGCCCAGATATGAAATTGGCATGGAGGGTGAACTGGGATTGAGAAATTCAGTTAAGAAAAACAAGTATGACCTGAGATGAAGATACTCAGAGGGACACTGACAGACCTGATACAAAGAGGGTCTGTATTGTGTATCTCTGCTAAACACCCATGATCTCCCAGAGAATCCATAAACAACAGGACTCTCAACTCTGCCTCTGTGATCAGTTTTCACCCAGCCGTGGCAGCCTGAAGAAACGCTTCCACCTGGCACTGGTCATGAAAAACGGCAGCAAGGTTGTGGCCTGGAGGGGAGGAGACAGCTCAAAATCATTCACTATCATTACTATCGTAAACCATAAAACAATGACAACACCTAATGCTATTGATGCGGGGGTTCTTGTTTGCGGAGCTGAAGAATGAGCTTCACAAACAGTCAAGGTAGGAGAGCAAGGTACAGGCTTTTATTTAGAGATGCAGTGAAAGGACAGAGCTCCTGGCTCATGTCAGGTGGGGACAAGAGAGTCCGTAGTGGTGCGTTGTCTAGGGGGTTTTATAGGCAGTTAAGGATTTTCCAAGAACATGAAAAAACTTAGGGGTGGGACTTGTTAAGAGGTCCCTGAATATTAAAAGTTAACTTAACTGTAAGGAATTTCCTGCCTTGATTTCTCTCTGGGACACCGGCGCCTTGGTCTGGGAGCACATCAAAAGGCTGCCTGCCCAGCCCCCAAGGTGGGCTGAGTGAGGTATTGTCTACTTGCTAAATAATCTTGTTTCTTGAACTTCCTGGGTGTTCAAATGCAATCTTATCTTCAAGATGGAATTCTTCCTGCCCTTTACTATGCCGTTTACAGCTGGGCCTGCAGCTAAGTTAGTTGCTCAGTTTGCAGAATCACCTCGTCAGATCTGGAGGAAAGACAGCACATAGGCCTGGGCCTTTTAGTATGCTAAAGGGAACCTTACACATGGTTAAAATTATTAGCATAATAAAAAATGTGCTACTCTTCTTTATCTGGGGAACATTAACTGATTTCACTGAAGAATGACTCTAGAGCTCAATGTTTAACATAGACCTTTAGTAGGGGGGTTTCCTTGCATGTAGTTACATTGCTCTGACTGCGAATATCTTGCCGCCTCCGGAGGCCTTCACTCTACTCTGACTATATCTATGGTCCCTGTCTCACTACTAGGCACCAGGCACTGTTCTAGGCACTTTTACCCATTAAACTCTGCTAGTAACATCATAAGGCGCCATCATCTCCATTTTTTGAAATGGAGGCAGTGAAGGTTTAGACAACTTGGACCGGGTCAGCCCCACCCGACCACAACCCGCCAACATCCTGGCAAAGCAGAACTCGAACCTGAAACCTCCCGAGACACCCTCTTTCCCTGAGCAGGTCCACGCACGCCCTTACGAAGCGCACGCGCACTGAGGCGGAGCCGCAGAACCCAGAACACCTCCCCTTCGTAATCCGCATGCGTGCTGAGGCCAACCACCTCCAACGCATGCTCAGCTCAGCGCTCACGCTCCGTTCTTGCGTGCTCAGCTCGGGGCGCATGCGCGGGTGTAGGAACCCGCGCGGGACCTGGTCTCAGCTAGGTCCCGTCGTACCTCCTACTACTCTTCCTCCTGCGGCCCGGCCTTTCTTGGGTGCCGCTTCCGGGGTGCTCAGACCGGTTCCCGAGTGACCGCTGCCCGGTTTTTCCCTCTTCCCCTACGCTCCTGGCCTCCCCCGACGCCATATACAGGCCGATAGCTTGTTGCGGAACTTCCCCGCCCCCACCCCCACCCCATCTGCGTCACGGAAAGCACGCGTCGCGCTGCGCCCCAAGAGCCAATCAGCAGCTGCCTTAGGTAAGGACCCCTCCCCCAAGCCCGCCGTGGGCTCGCGCACCGTTGGGGGCGGAGCCCCGGCGCGTTTCGAAGCCCCGCCCCTTCCTCGACCCTTAAGTGGTTGCTGGGTTGCTCGGCGGGTGTGTGTAACTGAGAGGGGACCCGTGAGCTTCTCGTTAAATACCGGGTTGAGGGAGGGAGGAAGGGAGGGGCGAGCTGGGGACAGGTAATGTGTAAGTAGGGATTTCAGTTCTGGGAGATCTTATTAGAGCGAGCCTGTGAACTGGCCGTAAGGTACTGCGAAGATTTCCTCGCATGACGTGTCTCAGAGGGCCCTTAAAATACTGGGGAGATACTGCAAATAGGTCCAAGTACTGTGCAAACGTAATTTTAAGTTGCGGGGTTCCTCGTAGGAGGTCTGCCAACAGATGGCTGCTTATGGGGCACGTCCGCTGAGTGAACACAGGCAAGTTCTAGGAAAGGCGCCATATGGAAGTCTATTTTAAGTGCTACAGATTATTTAGAAAAACAGTGTAGAGACCTAAGTTCTGGAGTGGGGGGGTGTTTTACTAGGGTGGGCATAAATACGGAGTTAGTTAGGAATTGGGAGTCTCCCCAAATAATTTGGAAATAGGTTCTGGGAGATCCCAAAAAAGGAATGTGAAGAGATGCTTAAGCACCCCAAAGAATGCGTAATTAGACTTAATTTCTGGGAGGTCACCGTAAGTGTCCTGTAAATAAACACAAATAGGCTGGCTTTACAGTTTTGGGGGAATTCCAAAAGGATCCTAGAAACAACACTGGGGGTCCCCAAGTTGCATGTAGGTGAATTTTTAAGTTCTGTGGAGCTCCCCACGTGGGCTATTGAAAAATACATTGAGATACTGTGGAAGTTCCCAGAGTAATGTGCAAGGGACACTTACTTGCATGGGAAGGGGGTCCTCATAAGTGTATAAACTGATTTTAGTGCTGGGGCAGAATCCCCCATTGAAGCATGAAAACAGACAGTTAAGCACAGAGGGGGTCTCCAGAATGTGTAAACACAGTTGCAAGGGAGGGAGGAGTCTCCATTTCTGAGAATTTCTGTCAGAGACTAAACCATCACTGAAGTGCTGAATGAATAATTTGCCATAAACATCTATAAACAAGCCTGTCTTCTCTCTCAGAGGGCAGTCTTCAACCCAATTTGTGGCTGGCGGGAAGAGGTCTAGTAGAGCAGTGAGAGAGAGGAGCTAGACAAGTACCTGCATGGCTGGCACAAATTACCTTCTGCACCCTGTAAACCTGCACTTCAGTTCTGGAGAGTCTCTCACAGGGACCTGTTAATGTCACTATGTACTGGGGTGGGAGGAGGCAGGGGGGCTTAGAGTGATGTATTAACAGGCACTTAAGAGCTAAGCAAGGGTCAGCAAACTTTTTCTGAGAGTAATTATTATAGCAGGCCTCTGTCTCAACTAATCAGTTCTGCCATAGACAGATTAAAGTAGTAAAGAGAAACTGAAGTTCTGGGAAGGCAGAACTTAGACAATCAAGAAGGCGGCCATAGACAATCTATAAATTGATGGGTGTGACTGGGTTTCAATTAAAAACAGAAAGCAGACCAGATTTGGTCCATAGGCTAGCTTGCCAGCTTGATCCATGAACTATGGCAGAGGGCCTCACGGGCTTCCAAACAGACTGTTAAGTACTGGCGCTTGCCTAGAATGAAGTGTAAACAGCTACTTAAATGGTAGGGAGTGGGTCATATAAGGTCAAATTAATTTGAGCGCTTAAACTATGAGGGAATGCAGATCATCAGGGATGGAAGGTGCGCAGACACCTAAATGTAAAGGAACACCAGGTGAACACAGGCCGTGAAATGCCGGAGACCCACCCCCACGTATGCCCGTATCGGGTGATCAAAGTAGTTGTCGACCGAGGATCATGCTCCTGATTTGCCTTGCTGCGTTTTGGGAAAGAGTATGTCCCATTTTTATGTGACTCTGCCCATGAATTTTATTTATGTTGGGGCAGAGTGATTAATAGTTGGGAATAGATTTGGCTGCAAGTAAGAGACTGAAATGTATTTGTTCCTCAACTGCATCCAGAGGTAGGCAGTTCAAGGTTAATAGGGGACCCCCCAAACCTTGTATCTTGGTCTACCATGACTTAATTCCATTAAGATGCCTCATAGTCCAAGATGGCTGCTTGAGATCCAACCTCCCCATCCACATTCCTTCCAGCCAGGAGGAGGAAGGGCAAAAGGCATGTACCAGCATCTGTGAAGGAAAGTTTGTGAGTCTTCTAAAACACATCTCTGGTGTCATACCACTCACCAGAAAACTTAGTCACATGGCCATACCAAACTGAGAAGTATAATCTGGACAGCCATGTCCCCAGTCAGAACTGAGGGTTTTGTTTTTTTGGAAGAAGTAAAGAATGGCTATTGTGAACCAGCTGGCAGTCACTGCCACAGCCACAGGACTCTCTTGAAGTGCCTTCTTATTTGGCTCTGGATGAGCCATTGTGGTAGGAGAGACCCTCTTCACCCTAGAATCAATCTCTGTCTCTCTGTAGGCAACCATGTCTGAGTCTGGGCATAGTCAGCCTGGGCTCTACGGGATAGAGAGGCGGCGACGGTGGAAGGAGCCTGGCCCTGGCGGCCCCCAGAATCTCTCTGGGCCTGGTGGTCGGGAGAGGGACTACATTGCACCATGGGAAAGAGAAAGACGGGTGAGTGTTTGGGCCTACGGGCAGCATTCATGTATCTACTTGGTCCACAAGCGTTTATTGAGCACCTACCACATGCCAGGTACTAATGTAGATGCTGGGGACCTATCTGAACAAAATCAACTACCCTCATAGAGTAAGAGGGTGAAGAGTGATAAAGGGGTTGGTTTGAGATGAAGTGGTCAGAGAAGGCCCCTGGGAAGAGGAGACTTGAGCAGAGACCTGAATGAAGTGAGGGGACAAAATCTGAAGAATGTTCTAGACAGAACAGCAAATGCAGAGGGCTGAGGCCTATATCTGGTGTGGTGCAGAAGTAGCCAAGAGACCTGTGTAGCTGCAGTGGATGAAGAGAAGGGGAAAGTGATAGAAGGTGAGGTCAGAGAGGTAACTGGGGCCAGATCATGGAGGACCTGGTGGACCTTGGAAAGCACCTCAGATTCCACTGACTGAAATTGGCATTGGAAAGTTTGAGCTGAGAGCTGCCATAAGCTCTTGTTTTAAAGAGTTGTGTAGTGATAACAATACCTGTTTCTGTGCACTGTGCTAGCACTGTGCAAAGTGCTTTACATCCTTTGGGATCTTGAAGCCTTGCAACAACCCCATGAAATAGAACCCATGATAGATGCGATTTTTACTAATGAGGAAAATGTGTCTCAGAGGAGAAAGGACTTCCCAAAAGCACAGAGTCAGTAAGCTTTGGGGTCAGGACTTGAACCCAAGTCCAGCTGAGCCTAATGCAGCACCATTCTGTCTGCTATATAGAGTCTTGGACTGGGAATCGGGAACCTCAGTGTGGTCCTACATTGCTGTTCTGTGATTCGGTGACCCACTGCCAGAACCTGCCCCCAGAGGTCATTCTCAGGGCCTGCCCACGTCTGACAGGTGGGGTGGGAAAAGGAAACCGTTGGGACCAGTTTCTGAGCCATAAAACTGCAAACACGAGGAGTAATTTATTCACTGTGAGCTCAGCTCTTGCCTGTTCCTTCCCTAGGTCACAGCTCAAGTGAGTGCACACAGCCTCTCTTCCTTCCACACACGTCCTTCTGGGGAATACTACCATCTTCCTACACCTTTAGTTTCAGTCCCTGAACAAGCAGCCCCCAAAACTCTTGTCTCTGTCTCTGACTTTGCTACAGCCCCGTAACACCTTCCAACCCTCCATGTCCCCTGCTGACCTCAGCATCTTCCTGCTAGTGTCAATGACAGCCCATTAGCCCTTTACTGAACACCTCCCTGCTCCCAGCCCCACGCCAGTCAGGCACCAGTGCTGTGCATTGCGCCTCCTGAAGGAATCTGTCCATCTTCTCTCCACCCTCATAAACTCCGTCCAGACATCATCCACTCCTCCCTGGACTTCTCACCTGTCTCCCTCCCTGGCCTCCTGGAAGTCCACAGCCTCTCCTCCTGTAGCTCTCTTGCACCTCTTCTTTCCAAAGCTCTTTCATATCCATTTGTTTTGTCTACCGTGGCCAGTGAAGTGGCAGGAGTTAGATAAGTATCCTCAATATATGGGTGAAGTGAAGGGTCAAGACTCTCCTGAGGTCAATCAGGGAACCCGAGAAGAAATAGGACCCGAGCTCAGGTCTCTTCCCTTTCTTAAGCAGACTGGGTGTGAGTTGAAAGAGGCATGAAGAGGGCAGGATATGGAATCAGTCCACTGGCTTGGCTGGCACAAGAGTGGAGCTGAGAGGATCCAGGTGGCAGGGCTGTCAGGAGAGCAGCTCCCACGTAGTGAGCACCTTTGCGTGTCAAGTGCCACGTGTCTTTCAGCTTCACAGTCCTGTGAAGAAGGGATTCCTACTCCATTTAGCAGATGAGGAAACAGGCCTAAGTGAGGGTGGTTCTTTATCCAAGCTCACACGGCCAACAGAAGTCAGGGCCAAGTGTGAACCCAGGTCGTTCTAGCTTTAGAGCTCTAGCTCCTTATACGTGGGCTTGTTGTCCAGCAGAGGTGGCTGAACGGAGTGGTTAACACCTAGGTTCAAATTCTGGCTCCACTGCTTATTGGTTGTGTGAGCAAAGGCAAGCCAGTTAACCTCTCTGGACCTCAATTTCTTCATTTGTAAAAGGGGGTTAACAGTATCACAGGTTTGCAAGTAGGACTGAAGGCATTTAGAACAGTAGCTGGTACAAAAGACCCTTCAGGAGGGTCCCCGGAAGCCAACGGGCCCTTCCTGAGTGACT